AGTTTTCTCATACCGAATTGTCAAGTGATGATATTAAATGTGCTCAAATTTTCGGTACCAGTTAAATGACAAGAAGTGTAAATAAAGTTGAGCATGTGCTGAGCACTCCCTGCACCTCCCATAGTTTCACCCAGTGAGAGGAAAGAAAACACTAATTATGAGCGTTAAAAAGAGGAGAGTTTCGCACAGGGTAGCGGACCTATCCCGTTATGATAACGACCTTGCACAGCACTTAAGAAGGAACAAAAAAGCACGACCTTTGTTGGAATCTTTTTATTTTGACATTTCACATTTGGCTTCTTTGCAGGCAATCGTGAAACCCCTACATCTGGCAGCGCAGGAATGGCCTTTAAAAATCGAAGACGTGATAACGCCAGCTCGGTGGGTATTAGTCACATAGATGACCAGTTACCACACCATGGACCATTTCATTCGAAACAAGGACGAATTCTTCCACAATCACTAACTATCAACATCTTGGAGCAGAAGCGTTAACGAGTTCAAAGGAAAACCATTGCATAAAGAAACAGGAGTTCATAAAGATATGTACCAAGATCTGCCACTGAGGGCTACGCTTTCTCCCTCTCTAACCATAAGATGCCTCTGACTACAGAGATGACCGCTTTCCAAACTCACCTTCATCTTCACCTTCCCATTCGACTTCGAATCGCCTCCGCTTTCGTTCCGAGTTAGATTTCGACATAAAGAGCTAACTTCTGCAAATCAGGTGGGGTAACAAAAAAGCGACAAAATTGGTACACTCGAAGCAATGTGCCACATCACTAAAACTGTGCATGGAGCTTCAAAGGCCGAATTGTATTAAAGCAGGTATCAATACATTGAGCATGGTGTGAAGCTGACTACTAGTAGACCACTCAAACACAGAATAAATTCTTTTATATCAAAACTTTACGCATGATAACTGATTAAAAGGTATAAATAATGTCCAGTAAATGCAACCGGAGAAACAAATGTCGATTGGAAACAGCTAAAATGAGGTAGGTCCAATCGACATTGTGAGATGCAAGTACGACTTTATGTAGAATGCCCCAACACGTGAGGGTTCTGAGTACAAAGAACAACAACGTAGACAAGGAGACCAATATTCGAACCTAGGGCATGCTTAAACAGAGTCACACCGGCAATGAAAACAGGCTATATTTACACAATAAATACGTAAAGAAACTATTGAGTAGTGAAACTGTAGGGAAACCATGCTGTGAAACAACGAAATGAAAATTTCAAAAACACTGATTTCAGGAATATACAGAGTAAAATACCATTGCCCACTACGGTAACTCATAAACTCTAACGAAAGAGATTCAACTATAGTTATGCGCCAACTGCGAAAACTTTTGTACCAGATGATGGTTATTCTAACCTCTTATGAGGATCTTCCACGCGATTATAGATAAAGATGTAGCCGACTGATGATGAGTTATCTATCACTTCCACCTCAGAAGTCTAAAATAAATAATTATCAGAAGCCAGCTAAACATCGAACATGCTACTGAAAGAAAATGGCCAGAATCTCGTAGGTTGCACTCTCACTCCATGTGCGAAAGAAAACACTCAGACTCGCTCTTTAGCGAGAGCTTCGTTCGGTTGTGTGTTAGTTCTGGCCTCTATCAGGTGAAAGTACAGAACCAGATCACCCACGAAAAACGAAAAAAAAACAGCTCTATGAGAAGAATAAGGCAAGGATCATAGGTAGAGAATCTTCGCGAGAGCGTTCTGCTTTGAGCTCATACAATAAACAAATGTCTCGAAATTACTCAAATACACAAATTGGTCAATACGTGAGCTATGGATACATAAACCATACCTTTGTGATCACGTTGTCATTGCAATCCAACCACTCTCGTCTAGTAGCGTCTAAAGCGAATGTGGAATAGTGACCTGAAAGAGTATAAGATGAAAACTATAGAAAACAGAATCTCATCTTCATCGTCATGGAGTGTTCATGGAAGTGGTCGTAGAGGAACCAAGTGCGGAGTACTGAGCAGAGAGAATGAAATTCGCAAAATAAAAACAGATTCTGAAAAGCTAAACTCTTGGATAGCTGCTGGTAGCCGAGGCGGAACCAAAAGGAGCTCATAGAACGAAGAACGATGGGAGCGGCCACGTGGAATGTTGTGTGAATCCAACGAGAATCCTTTAGAATCTTGTTAACACGCCTTACTCGTTTACATGCGTTGGTTACCGCTTCCCAACAGCCGTCATTTTTATTTTTATTTTAAGTGCACTCAAGGTGCGCTCCAACTCGAACATGAACCGAGAACAAGGATGAAAAGGAATCATAAAAGCAACAAAAATAAAAAAAGAAACACTGCTCCAACGGCACACGTAGAAGATCACTGAGTAGAAATCGAAGTACCGGTGAGAGAGGAAAGACATTATGATAAGGAACAGAAAAAGCTTTCGACAGGGCAACGCTATGGAGCAGCAAAGCTGATTGTCAGCGTAGCCGTTGTAAGACAACTAGTCCACTTGAAGAATTAAAGGATAAAGGAAACTCACTCGTATGCAAAAAACCCAGCGTGAATTAGGCGGCTGTGCATTAGAATTAAGCAATGAAAATTAGCAACAAAAGGGTCAGCCTGAGCAACGCAACTAGCCGTGGCTATTTGTGAAAGTATTAGGGCGAGAATTCAAAATACCTATCCACCATGTATCTAGTCATATGGATTTACTGTCAAACAAGAATGCTAATTTATTGCCCTTTCTGATATCCTCATGAAGCGTGGCTCTCAGATTTCCATTTTTTGTGAGAAGAAAGCAGGTTGTTCGCGTGCACGATGCATTTGAAAATGTCCACAAATACTTCACTTCAAAGTCGAAAAACATAAGAAACACGAAACTAAATCGTAACCTTATGGGACACAACTAACCACTGAGTAACGAATCCCCATGATGGCAGATGACCGCCGCTAAAGAATACACAGGGCCGTCTGCAGTGTTGAACACATACGGCGGCTCAGGAGTACGTGGCGGTGTAGCTGACTCCTAAAAAATCATTTGTTTAAGGAGAAATATCATCTTTGCCGACTATACTCACTCGGGGTCTCACGAGCATCCCTTCGAGGCCGCAAATTCCTTCTCGACTGAAAACAAGCAATGAAAGCAGGGCATAAAGCATTTCATTCGCCGTTGATCAATCCCTTTTTGGGATGCGGCACGCATTCTACTTCCATTTGTACATTCGTAGTGGCATTTGAATGCGATGTGGCCTATACAATGACTTGCGGGGGCCAGCCGATGTACAAGTCAGTGTTTTTTTGTCTCAGGCAAATTTAATACCATTCACCCAGCCTCAAAGGGATAAAAAGCTTGACAGCGCATGATGCAGGATTCGACTTTGGACCTGCGTAGACAGCGCCATTTGCGAGAACACCCCTGACGAACAAGACAATAGAAATGGATTAAAGCGAAAGGATCCCGTCACAAGAGAAGGTTGTATGAATTAGGTAAGCGCTTCAGAATAGACTGGTGGATTTCAAATTGCAAAGCCAACTCACACTTGAGGGTTCTACGCTAACAGCCGGCTGGAAGTGACAACCGCTTGCGTTGCATATAAAAATGGCGCCTCTATTGTCGGTACATTCATCTCGATGAAGGTCTAAAACGAGGAGAGGTTAGGAACAGAAATATGTGTGCAAAGCCTTGCTGGACCACAAATTTGCAGGAGAAAAAGAATTCAAAAAAGATTTACTTACTGGTTGGAGGAGAGCCATCAGCATTCCATCGAAAAAGAGGTCTGTACTTAAGCCACTTTCCTTCGAGGAATGTGTAAATATTCACGCCAAGCCAACAGGCTGCTGCAGCCAACTCAACTTGAGTACCCCATTCACCATCTTCGGACATTCTTCTGAAATTGTCAGCAAACCACTTGCGTCTACATGCGCATTACCATAAAATTTGGTAGGCATCCCTTCCTAACAATAAGAACCAACAAAAGCATACCACTTTTGATTCGAAATTTATGTGCTTGCCTGTGCATGTGAGTTTAACAGATTATTTGGGGGATTATCCATACGGAAAATGCTGTTTTTCAGTTGAACTAGCGAAGTCTCCACTGATAAGAACAGAAAAAAACGAAGCTTATAGAAGAGGAACAACTGCGGCTGTGAGGTAATCACCATTTTCAGCTTGATTTACATAAAACCTTTCTGGGATAACAAACATTTGTATAAAAAATACTGTAGAGAAGCAGCAGAACATATGAGCTCAAAATGGAAGAAATATTTCCGACGGAAAATTTTTGAAGTTTCAAAAAGGCGAAG